GAAACGACCCTCGCGGTCGCGTAAGGGGAAACAGGGCGAGAAGGTACGATTGTCGCGATGGATCTCTCCGAAAAATCTCCAGAGGCGACAAAAACCACCTCTCTCCCCTCGTAAAGCACGCCTGTGTGTGTGTGCAACGTGCGTGCGCTGAGGAAAGAAACGAGCGTTGAGAGAAAGAGAGAGAGAGAGAGAGGGGGGGGGGGGCAAAGAACCGGAAGACATCGGTCCGCGGTTTCGTCGATTAGCCCCGAAGAACGGGCTCGGCTCGAGCATCGGTTCTTCGAGCCGTTCGAAATTAGCATTCGCACAGGATACACGGTCTAACTGCTATCGACGTTCGTCGGACTATAATCGTTCGCGGCGAACGGCGTGGCTCCGGCGTAATGTTATTCAGCAGACGGCTTTTGTATGGATATCGAGAGAGAGAGAGAGAGAGAGCCGTAGAGCACAGATGCTGTCCGTCGGAGGAGGCCGAGCATGCTCCCGCGTCTCGAGTAGGTGCGTAAGAACCCCTTTAAACACCGGCTAACGGCTGTTTCCACCGCTTCTCGGCCCTCGAGGACGTATTCCGGCAAGTTTACGCGCGCGCTCGTCCAGACGCCGCCAGTTCATCCGCCTTCATGAATCGTAATTACGCATTAAGTGTACGCGGCCAGCTTCCACGACCCTAATCTTGGACTCGCCTCCCCCTCCTCCCTCCACCCTTTATCCCTTTCGAATAGATCTCGTTCAATGTTCAACCTCGAGAGTACGTTCTCCAACTACCGATTGAATTTCTGCGAAAAGACGCTGCAACACTCGGCGAGTCGAAAGAAGAAACGAGATATTGACGATTCTTCCTAAGCAGATCCCGGTCATCGACGACGACGGCCGCGGGGCTGGGAAAGGAGCGAGTGCTGCAGGTGCCGGGAATGGTCAATATAACCTCAAAATGTAAATCATATTGCTATTCCCGGAGGGACTGTTCTCTCGTTCCGAGCAAGAGAACGTGTATTAAACACGAGCCGGGTAAGACGGCCAGGCCTGTATATTAGTTTCTGCGGGTTTCCCTATTGGATTTACCCCGTCGCGTTTCCCCTGATTGTTTACGCGACCGGCCGCTAATTCCCGGAGATAGGCGACGACTTTGAAACAGCCCGAAGCGATGCTCCGACTCTGTGGAATCTCTCGTCGGGCTCCTCGCACTATTTCCAACGAAAGATGGAAAGCGATTACGCGGCGTTTCGTTTCCATCTCTCGATCCATGGCTCGATTTGCAGATCGTGACGGCAACTCGAGATCGATATCGGCCCACGGGATCTCGGGCCTGCGTTGAACGTAGGCGGACGGTTCGACAGAGTTCGCGAGTCGTCGACGTGGGTAGTCCGCGTGGACAGCGGCCGTAGAATTTCTAATCGAACGCACAGCGGTAGCTGATGTATTTTGACGTGTCTAGAGAGAGAGGAAAAGAGAAAGATAGAAACATCGTCCCTCTTCTTTTTTTTCTTCTCGAGCGCATCCATCCAATGGAACATTCTCTCTTCTGCTTGGGATATCCTTTGACCCGAACCCGTGCCCACCCGCCCCCCCCCCTGCGCCTCTCCTCCCTTCGCGAACAATTTCTCAGCGTTCGACGTCGCTCCACTCTCGGCTCTAATTTTGTAACCACGACCGCGGATCGACCATGTCGCTTGTCAAGCAGCTCTAACAGGCAATGCTCGCGCGGCTTGCAGTTTCACGAAACTGAAGCATGGCTCACGGTCGATATCGATCGAACGAGCAAAAAATAAAAGGGATATGAAGACGATTAGGCTGGCTACTCTGCCCTTGAGAAACGGAAATGCCGAGAGGAAGGACAACGGAGGAGGAATTCTCGATTCCTTGCTGTTACACGGCTGTTACGCTCGGAGGGACCAAAGAGGGACATTGTCGGCGAGACAACTTGCGGGAATGGCTATCCACTACCGCTACCGAGAAATTATTGTCCCCCGGAACGATCGGTACCACGGAGACGACGAAATTGCTCGATGATCGTGGCAGGACCGCTTTCGGATGAGACAGAGAGAACCAACGAATCCCTCGTTCTCACGTTCCTCGCTCACGATCGGCAGAGCGGTGAGACGCAATAGAGGACGGAAAAGCGGCGATGGAGGAAAACTCGGGCGTCTTTTGGAATCGTAGGTGGAAATGGTGCCGTGGCAGCCACGGTACGGGGCAATTCTTTGCCAGGCTCGCGTGTATCCTTAGTATGCAACGTATGCAGTCGGTTGTTACCGAAGGAGTGGTTTGCCGAGCGGCCAATGGCGAGTGCTCGAGCTAATTCTAGGGTGCCGCAGCCGCGCCATCTTTGCATCATAATGCTGCGCCCCCCGCTTCTCCCTCGTACCCCACAGGCCGCTCCTACCACCGAAGAGAAGTCTGTCCCCCTTCCCACCTTGTCCCACCCCACCCACCCGCCACCGGCGTACTTTGCTTCGCGTCCCTCCTCGCCCTCACCAACCCCCTCCTTCTACACCTCCTCCTCCTCCTCCTCCTCCTTCTCCATCACCTCCTCCTTCTCCAAGCACCCTCGCGCGAGCTTTCTCCTTACCCTCCTGTCGTTGCACACCTATTCGACAGCGACGAGAAGACAGCATCTGGATGGGGGACTACGGCGAGACGAAGAAACGGAGCACGCGAGAATGAGCGCCGAAGGAAGACGGATGAGAGAGGGTGGGAGGGAGGTGAACGCCGCCGCGTTCCTCGAAAGTCGTGGCGAGAGCAGGATCGGCAACGAAGAAAGACGAAGAAGTGTGCGCACAGGTATACCGGCATCGTGACCAGATAGAGGGGGCAAAGGGGTTGTCTGCGCCTTGTCTGCCGGGAATCAATCACGTATCAGTGACGCTCAACCGATCTGTCCGTCTGCCGATCGCGTGAAAAATATCCATGGGTGAGGATCGAGGTCCGATCGCCAACTCGCTGTTGACTTTGAACCTCTTGCGCTGGAACGACGTGAGAACTTTTTGTCCCACATTGCAACACTCTCTCAGTTTTAGGTATACTTAAATGTAACCCAAGTGATAAGTTATTACTTACCAAGAGGTAAAACAAATGACAAGTTTATTACTTGTTAATAATAATTTCTACCCAGTGATGTCGTACCGACGAGTACAAACGAAGAAGAAAACGACAAATTATTGTACACGGTCACTCGTTATGGTCCGCGAACCAGTTGACAGCGCAAGAGGTTAACCTCTTGTCCCAAATTACAACATGTTCTCAGTTTGAAGTATATTTAAACGTAACCCAGACAAAACAAACGACAAGTTTATTACTTGTTAATAATTTCTATCCAGTGATATCATCACCGACGAGTACAAAAGAAGAAGAAAGCAACAAATTATTGTATACGGTCACTCGTTATGGTCCGCGAACCAGTTGACAACGCAAGAGGTTAACCTCTTGTCCCAAATTGCAACATTTTCTCGATTTTAGGTATATTTAAACGTAACACAGGCAAAGCAAACGACAAGTTTATTACTTGTTAATAATTTCTATCCAGTGATGTCATACGAGCGAGTTCAAAAGAAGAAGAAAGCGACAAATTATTGTATACGGTTCGGTCACTCGTTATGGTCCGCGCAAGAGTTTAACCTCTTGTCCCAAATCGCAACATTTTCTCAATTTTAGGTATATTTAAACGTAACACAGGCAAACAAATGACAAGTTTATTACTTGTTAATAATTTCTATCCAGTGATGTCATACCGACGAGTTCAAAGGAAAAAGAAAGCGAGGAATTATTGTATACGGTTCGGTCACTCGAACCAATTTTCGAACGCGAGCGATTAACAGTTCGCAGCTTCCTGATTCCAGGCGCGTCATCCTGGTTGTGGGCCACGGGTGATGGCCACGCGAGATACAAACGATACAAACGACGGTGTGTAAACTATCTTTTACGCAGTTTCCTCGACGCCTCTTCGTTTAATAGCACGTTTCGGCGCGGATCGGACGAAAATGACGATGCAGTTGTTGTGCGTCTGCGGCCGACTCGGGCTCGTTTCCCCGGTGACGAGACTAATTGGACGCTAACTACCGACTTCCACGTTAAACACAGGGTAGGTCCGAGAAAAAGGCAGCTCGCGCCGTTTCCCCGCGTTCCGCGAAATCCGGCCATCGTGGTAGCGGCAACGCCGTCGATCGCGACGATCGCTACGAGTGGATCGTGACGATCGTGGTGGCACCGACAACAAAGGCCAGGCTCGCGAGAGATCGTGGCCTGAAAGCGCCGGGAGCGGGTGATCCCGTGCAAGACACAATAGCCGGACGCGGCGGTTCGCAATAATGGAAAATAATTAAAGCGGGCAGGAGGAGGAGGGACGATTCAAACGCGCCGACCCAAAAGGTCCGAAGGATCGCTCAATCGGCCTGTCTACCATGTCGAATATTGCTCTCCGCTTTCGTCGGAATTTTACAGTCCGAGAATCGGACTCGAAATTGTCTCGGCGGTCTGCCAATTTGCTGTAATACGCGATACCGGAGGTATCTGTGATAGAGTAATCAACGGACGCGGTCCGGCTGACAGCTGTGGGGCAGTCGCGAGAAAAAATTGTTCCCGTTTGCAAATGGTGGGCAGCGGTGGAGAGTGGGAACCGGTTTAACCGGGCAACAAATTCGTAGATGGATCGATAACTAGATCGAGCGATCGATCGACGTCGATCCTCGAGTAGACATCGTCGACAGGCGCGCACGGTAGCCGACGAGACGATCAGACCCCCGCTTAGACGCGTGTTCCAAGTCCGAGGCCCCCTGCGCTGACCGTGAAACCCCCCGCGGTACAATGATACACCGAGATAATTTCGTTGGACTTTGACCGCGCCAGGGTTCCGCCACCTGGGGAACCGAAAAAAACACCGGCCCCGTTAAGTCGTTTTGACAGGTGTCCGTCGAAATCCGTTCGAAAGAGTCGCACGCGACACACCCGCCGGCAGGGATTATCGACGATACCGACTGAGAATGTTTCAATGTTTCTGTTCGCAGTGATGTATCAGAAGCGATTAAAGAAAGAACGAAGAGCAAGGAAACGCTTGCAGGAGCAGCTGGACCTGGAGATCAAGAGGCGCACGCAGCTCGAAGAGGCATTGAAAGCAACGGGGGCTTCCCCCGAGCAAGTCAGAGCGATCACCGGTAAGTATACAAGGATTATCACGATACCGGAGAGAAATAAGAGAGAAAGAGAGACAGACAAACAGAAGGCAGAGAACGGTAGAGACAAAAGAGTTTTCATCGAGTTCTAACCAACTGTTTCTCTTTCTCTCTCTCTCGCTGTGCCCTCGGGTTACCAGTGATCTCGGAGTACATTAATTAATTCACCGAAGCAGAGCAAACAGCCTGACACCCGACGGAATACGATTCCTTACTTATCCCCCGAAGACGGAAAGATCCGCATCCCTTCCGGTTTCAAACACAACCGTGGCCCAACCGTTTCGCCCGTCTCTTTCTCGATTCTCCGGCTAAACGATAAACGACATTCTTCGACGGCAGGGGTTCGGAGGCAGCGAGAAGCGCACCGCGGCGTCACCCCTCTTCCTGTCACTAGCAAAACTCGTGCGCGAGCTTGAAACCCTTTAAGTGAAATCTCTTATTCCGATATAGAACCGGTGGGCCCAGGAATCCGGCAATCTCGCGTCGCAACGACGTTGCCGCTCCCGCTGCCGCCGCTGATTAACCCTGTCAGAAGCAGAGAGTAGCGATACTAATTTCGAATGAAACGGAGCACGCGAATTCGCAGCTTGGAGACGGTTGTTCGAGGGGTCGTTAGTTTGCTCTTGCAGCGGAACGAACTGCCTACGAATCGTCGACAAATCGATGACGCCGATTTTGCTTTTCTGTTTCCCTCTCGGTTTAGAAAACGTGACGGTGGAGGCCCGCACGAGTTCAGAGCCGCCGGAAGCTAGTCCGGTGCACTCGCAGTCGCAGCAGCAGCCATCGCAGCAACAGTCGTCCCAGCAACCCCTTCAGCAGCAGCAACAGGCCCAACAGTACAGGGAGGCCCAGGTGCCGCGTCCCTCCCAACAACCTTCCACCCCCGAGAAACCGGCATGGGGATACGGTTTGGACCTGATCGGCAGCCAAGCATCCGCCTTCTGGCAGAATTATCAAGGTCAGTTTGCCGCAACACCACACCCCACTGACTAACTCTCTATCCAACTTTCGACGAGGTATCCAACGTCGGAACGCTGGGGGGTACGACAGATAACTTTCCGGCTCCTTCGAGATCGAGTCAACCGGCGCGCACAGACAGACGAGAGAGAGAGAGAGAGAACAATCCGGCTGACTAACAATGGGTATCGAGCGAAATTTAAGAAAAGCGGCGAGAGCCTCGCGGGCACCCTTCCCGTTGGCTAGGAGAAGAGAGGGAGCGGCCGCGACCGCGATGAAAAAGAGGGCGAGGACCCGTGGCAAGCCGCTAATTCGGATAATCGCGTTCCCGTATTAGGATCCACTCAATTTTTCTGATCTTCCGGCCGGGTGACTTCGATCCTCGATTAACCAAACAAAAAAGAGGAAATTTCCTCGACGAGAGGAGATGTGGGGAGAGAGAGAGAGAGAGACGTCACGCGTCGGTATCGCGCAAAGTAAATTATTCGAAAGATCTTCGGGTAGGGAGGAAGAGAGAGAGAGAGAGAGAGAGAGAGAGAGAGAGAGAGAGAGAGATGGAACAATCACGCCGGGGGCAATAACAACCCCGTACACGCGGTAAGGGTGGGCGAGTCGAGTACGAGGCCAGAGTCGATTCCGACGAGGAAACACAAGGTATTTGAATAGGGTCCCGCAGCCACCCGGGCATCATGATGCGGAATCCATTTGCAATAAACAACGGAGATTTAGCTGGGGTAGCGGGGTGGGGAGAGGGTGGGGGGGGGGCATCGGGTCGAGCAACAAGGAGGAGCGTAGGTCGACGTAACGTCGCCGTCTAAGGTGGGTACTTACGCCACTGAGGGGACTTCGGGGCCGTCGTGTCTTCGAGTCATGCATTCTATACGAACAGCGCCTCTCATTCTCCACGAAGAGCGGGAAGAGATTACTCTCGGGCGAGACTGGAGAGTAAGATCGACTATATTTTGAATTTTAAACGGACAAAGAAAGAGACGACAACTGCTGGGATCTGCTACGCTGGGATCGATTTTAGAAAATCTCGACGCTGCGTCGTTGCATTTGTTAAACGATAGGATAGACAGCGTGGAAACGTGCGCAGAAGAGTATGGGGACGCGGATCTCTGGAAGCCGATCGCGACGAAGCGAATCGCGGTAGCGTTTAATCGACTCGAAACGACCGATCTCTGGCTGTGTCCGGCAGGCATTCGCGAACGAGCTCGCGGTAGCGAAGCACGCGTATGAGCGCCACTGAGCGTAATGCAGAGTTTATGCACATCTCTGGCAAGTAAGGAAGGAGCTGTAATTTCCCCGGCGGCCACCGTGGCTCTCGGTGGCGTTACCTGTCCTCCCTCTCCTTTCTTCCTTTGCTCGCGCTCCCTTCATTTCCCTTAAACCCTCCATCTTTCTCTCTCATCCCCTTTTGTTCTGTGCGTCTACTTCACCTCCCTCTCTCTCTCTCTCTCTCTCGCATTCTCTCTATTCTGCTCGCTTTGTCCCTTGTCCTCCTGCTCCTTTCTCCTCCATCTCTCGCGCTCCGTTCCCCCGCCCCCCTTTTGAATATACGTACATACGTGTACGCGTATATGCACACAACGACGATACCTTCCGCGTCCATCAACCAGCATCCACCATCCGACGAGTTCGACCGAGCACTCTGCCACGCTTTAATATTTAGACTATATGCAATAATTTCACAGCAACCATAACGTTGTCTTACCCTATCTCGCCTGTCGGCCGCTTTCACGCGACAAACTCCGCACGTCGCGTCCTTCCTCACCATCTTAGACCTCTGTCGTTTATTTCGTCCTCCCGTGTCCTCGACACCGGCGGCGTCAACTTTGTAAAATCGTTCGTTCGTTTGTAACCGAGATTGGAAACATCCTGGTTAAACGCTCCGGTTGGAAGCGTGCCCCGTTTACACTGCGCTGCGCCCGGGTCCACCGAAGGAATACGCGTGCACGAGCACCCGCAACGAATCTGTTACGCCGAAGAAACTCCGGATCGTAAAACCGGAACGAACGAAGAAACGATACAATGTACAGCGACTTGCTTGTAGCTTGTCGACGTATCTGGAGTGGGCATCTCGTTTCTTCGCGTCGAATATATGGGGCGGGAGGGAGAGGTGGAGACGAGGCGAGCGCATTCCAGCGGGAAAACGCCAGGATGAAATATCCTCCTATAGTGTACCTCGTGCGCGCGTTCGCGCAATCCGGCAGCTAGTCTACGATCCTCTCTACACACCTGTGCGCGGCGGGCACGTGCGTGTGTACCATTAGACGAAAGACAATAACCCCGCGAGAGTGATAAACCGTGACGCGTGTATACGAGCAATATAGAAGCGAAAGGAAGCGAACGCGTCGACACGGGAAGCCTGAAAATGGTAGGGGACTTGAAAGCGTCCCTCGCCGCGAATATATCCACAAGACACGACGTGGTTTTCCGGCGAACAAGCCAGGACCGGAGAAAGATCGGGAGGGTAGGCAGGGAGACGAACCGCCCGTTTCTGTGCACGCTCGGCGGAGGTACGTTCGCGCGAGGGTAACTAGGTGTTAGTGGCTGCTGTCGAGAATATCCCCCCGTCTTCCTTTCCGCGTGACGATTACGAGACGCGATTTACTTTCGGCTTTACGTTTTTCTCTCCGTCTCGACCTCCGTTCAACTCCACGCCCGAGCTCATCGTTGAGAAAACGATGGAAAGGCGGGGCTCGACTCATTGGAAATCGCGAGCGGTGGCGGGACATTTAAATTCGTTTCTGTCGCCAAGCCGAGCGCGAGAGATTCGTCGGGACAGGAGGCGAACGGAGGTTACCGGAGAGCGGCAGGAAAGTGGCGTTTCCATTGGAAATCGTCGAGCATTCCTCTTCGTCCTCGCATCCTCGCTTTTTGTGTCCCACTCGTATCGCCTCGCTTTTTGTGTCTCTGCGCTTCTCCATGCACCTCCTTGATTCATACAATTTCACGGTCGGCTTGGTGCTCGAGCGCCTATCTCCCTGCATCCTCCGTCTCCTCGCCTCCCCAATCTCGTGCCTCTCGTCTCCCTGCATCCCTCGTTCGCCCCACGGTTCCGTGTTTCTGTTTTACATAAAGATCAGAGCATTAAAAACGCGGCGCTACACGAAATCATCCCCCTGGCCGGCCCTCCGCGCCACCGCCATCGTCTTTTCGTCCTTCCCGTTCCTCATCTTCCTACTCCTACTCCCCTTCGTAAAAGCGCTGCTCTTTTTCTCCTCTCCTCTCCTCTCCTCTGCTTTGCTGACCCACGGTTCGATCCTTTCGCATGAGAGAGAGAGAGAGAGAGAGAGAGAGAGAGAGAGAGAGAGAGAGGGGGGGATCGAAAGCAGTAGAGCAATTACCGCGGCCGGGACACGATCGTCCGACGTCTCGAAGTCGGATGCTTCGTTGGATGCTTCCTCGCGCGAGAGGATCGTCGAACCCCGCCGAACGACGTTTGTTTTTCAGCGCGCGAGGTCACGAAGCCTTCACCGCCTCGGAAATTACTTATTACACGCCGGTGTAATAACTCGGGACTCCTCGATGCCTCGACGGATACATTTGCCCACTACCGATCGAGACACTCCGCCGGCCGGGCTGTTTGTTTCTCCGTGCGAGAGCCCGTAACGTTCGTCCGATGTAAAACCAAAATTATGAAGCGTGAGTGGAGAGTGTGACGGTTGGTCGATTCCGAATGGGCGAACGAGCCACGATCAAAAGAAACGAATCTCGGAGCGAAAAGACGTCCACGCGTGGACGTGGAATTTCGAGTGTTCTTCGAGTGAAAAAAAAAATCCAATCGATGGCCAAGCACCGGTGTGCTTCCAATGACGTTGCGGTGTCTCGATTTTTTGAAGAACGGACAATTGTATATATATATATATCTATATATACCGCGTATTCTTTTTTTTCTTCACTCGCCGTGCCTGCCACCGCATCGCTGCCGCCTTCCACTTCTTTTCTTCGACTCCTCTCCCTCGAGACAGAGAGACAGAGAGAGAAAAAAAGAGAGAGAGAGAGAGAAAGACGAGTTGGCCTTCTCGCGCGATGCATTGTGCGCCAGTTAATTACGTGCGGATAAACGCACAGTCATACCGGATACAGTTCGAGAGGTTCTTCTTTCAGCGATCTCGCTCGGGGGCCCTTTCCGCCGCGGTCGACAGCCGAAAAAAATCGGCTGCCGGGACGAGGGCACAATACCAACCGTTTAGAACCGAGAAAGAGGGGCAGCCGGCTCGTTCGGTACGGCCTGAAATTGTTTTCATTGTTCCCGCGATTTGTCAGGGTGTGTAACACGGTAGCAAAACTATTAGTCGCCTGATATCCACGAACGTACGTGAGGCTCCGAAGTTGCGATCTGTCTCGATCGAATCGACTTTCGTTCGAGGCGATCCGAACAACGAACTTTATCCCCGCTGGCGTACGGTGTCGGTTCTCCGTTGACTCGCACGGTGAGAGGCGCACGCGACACCCTTCGCAATCACCGTGGCAACAACGCGGCGATATCTTGAGCAGTTAAATTGTCATTTGGATATCAAAGGGACGAGGAAACACCCCGCGCGCGGATAAGGGCGCCAGAGGTAATTTGGATCAGTGAAACGCAAACACTCGCGGGATATAACGGCCCTGACGAACGCACGAGTTCACACCCACGTACCACGAAACAGCCCTCAGCTATTGTTGCACAAAGCATAATGGAATCTCGGCCCCGACGTCTCTGGTGCCGCGCGGCCGCGCGACTCGTGCTACTGGGGGTAACGTCGCCACGGTCCTCCGGCTTCTCTCCTCTCTTCTCGCCCGTGCGACACACACGCCGGTTTAACTCGGATTTAATGGCCTCGCAATTCGATTTTACCATTGCTCGTTGCCCAAGGAGGCGCCATTTCACGCTTGCCGATTTCACTCGCCCCTTCTTCAAGTCATTTCGAATCGAAAAACACTTCCGTTCGAATTTTCTTCTTTTCGTCGGCTCGGCGAATTTTCAATTTCCAAGGAGGAAGGAGGGTCACCGGACGGGGCAACCCTTCTTCTTTCAATCCTCGAGTAATGTCTATAGTCGTGGGACCCCGGGTCGAAAGGGACGTCGCGTCATTCCGTGGGCTTAACGAAGTAGACCGAAACGAGGAGCCTGCCCGCGGTTAATTCGGCGCGATATCATTAAAGGGACATTTTCCAGTTTTCACCCTAATCCTTGCGGAATTCAGTGAGCAAACCTGCGGCCCTTTCACGCCTGCCTTCGTCCGTTATCCCTGTCCCGTCCCTTCTCCCGTTCCCCTTTCCACGCAGTTCGCGCTCGCTGGTTTTCCACTAATTGCCGCTCCGTTTCATCCTTCGCGGCGCGCGGCGGATTTCGGTTCACGCCTCGACAAAATCGACGCCGAGACGTCCCGTCCGAATTCCCTCCGCCACCATCCAAGATCCACGATGAAGGAGATAACCAAACGAATGTTTTGTGTTTTCTTCCCTGTCGCAGAGTCGCTGGTGCAGGAACTCGAGCTGGAGAGAAAATCGCGGCAGCATCAGGCGGCCGAGAGGGACCAAGTGAAGTCTCCTCTTCAAGGTAGGTTTAGCGGTGACGGTTCGACGCCACTGAATCTCGAGCAAACACGGACGCCGGTGACTTAGTGCGAGAGGCGTCGGCTTCAAGGCTGACCGGTAAAAGTTACAGTTAGGCACTGTCGCGACTAACCCGTAAATTTCCCGCAAACGGAGGGAGGCGTGGAAAATTCGACGTTCGACCGGGGAAACGTAACTCGATTTCTTGGCCGGATCAGCGAGCAGGAATTTCTTGCGACAAGTAACAAAGTTTCGGATCTTTAATTAGAAAGTCCTCTAGGGGATGGCAGTCGCGCTTCGACGGAGGGGGTGTTTCTTGCAGCGGCGTCACTGGCATACGCCGCCGCCGGATTCAAAACTTACCGTCGCCTCTTGCTCCGCGGAAACTTCGTCGAAAGTTCCAGGCTCCGCTGCAAAAACCGTCTAACCGATGCCGCGTGATTTCAATGCTCTTTCTTCGTCTTTCTTTCTTGCTCCTTCTTCTTCCCTCCTTTCTCTCTCGCTCTCTCTCTATCTATCTATCTATTAGTCCATCTATCTATCCATCTATCCGTCTCCCTCGCCTTCTTCTACTCTGTTTCTCTCGAAGAGATCCCCGACGTGACGCTGCACGTAAATAATCGTTTTTCTCCCCGCGAACCAAGGTCCAGCGCGGCTTGGCAGCTGCTTAACGAGTGGTTCCCTTAATTGGCCGCCGCTTCGTCAAATTAACTACTCGTCGGCGGAACGATCGAGATTTTCTCTCTTTCGAAATTGACCGCGTCGATGTCAGGAATCGTCGGGCGTCGGAGCGGCCACGTTGCCTTCCGTAAGACAACGCGCGAACGACGAAACGTAGTGAATTGTGCCACGCACGTCGAGAATTTTTTCTCCCAAATTGCAATACTTTCTCAGTTTTAAGTATATTTAATATTTATAACGCAGGCAAAACAAATGACGAGTTTATTACTTGTCAATAATTTCTATTCAGTGATATCACCGCCGACTAGTTCAAAAGAAAAAGAAAGCGACAAATTATTATGTATACGGTTCGGCCACTCGTTATGGTCCGCGAATCAGTTGACAGCGCAAGGAGTTCACCTCTTGTCCCAGTTTGCAACATGATCTCAGTTTTAGGTATATTTAAATGTAACACAGGCAAACAAATGACAAGTTTATTACTTGTTAATAATTTCTATCCAGTGATATCATCACAGACGAGTTCAAAAGAAAAAGAAAGCAACAAATTATTGTATACGGTTCAGTCACTCGTTATGGTCCGCGCAAGGGTTTAACCTCTTGTCTCAAATCGCAACATTTTCTCAATTTTAGGTATATTTAAACGTTACCCAGGCAAAGCAAATGACAAGTTTGTTACTTCTTAATAATTTCTATCCAGTGATATCATCACCGACAAGTTCAAAAAAGAAAAAGAAGACGAATTATTGTATACAGTTCAGTCACTCGTTATGGTTCGCGCAAGGATTTAACCTCTTGTCCCAAATGGCAACATTTTCTCAATTTTAGGTATATTTAAACGTTACCCAGGCAAAGCAAATGACAAGTTTGTTACTTCTTAATAATTTCTATCCAGTGATATCATCACCGACGAGTTCGAAAGAAAAAGAAGACGAATTATTGTACGTAAAATGACGTGTCGCGCAAGAATTTGTTCTCTCCCAAAATTGCAATATTTTCTCAGTTTTAAATATATTTAATATTTATAACCCAGGCAAAACAAATAATAAATTTATTACTTGTCAATGATTTCTATCCAATGATGTCATACCGACGAGTTCAAAAAGAAAGCGACGGATTATTGTACACGGTTCGGTCACTCTTTATGGTCCGCGAACCAGTGATGATTAACCTCTTGCGCTAAAATGACGTGCCGCGCAAGAATTTGTTCTCCCCTAATATTGCAATACTTTCACAGTTTTAAATATATTTAATATTTATAATCCAGGCAAAACAAATAATAAATTTATTACTTGTCAATGATTTCTATCCAGTGTTGTCATACCGACGAGTTCAAAAAGAAAGCGACGAATTATTGTACACGGTTCGGTCACTCGTTACGGTCCGCGGGACCAGTTGCCAGCGCAAGGGGTTAAAATGGTGCGTGATGATTTTCAATCACAAGCGACAGTTCGATAAAAAGTCGAAGTGGCGGCTGGATCACAAAGGCGCCGGTTAGGGCCGATGAGTCGACCGGTCTCGTATTTACGAACGCGCGCCCAATAAGAACCATTCTCGGCCTCTCTCTCTCTCTCTCTCTCTCTCTTTCTCTTTCTCTCTCTCTCTTTCTCACTCCCTTTCGCGTTCATCCGCGTCTCGGGAGGCAAGGATAATTAGTGAGCGGCGCCGCTTCCAGCCGAACGATCATCGAATCATTCGCTCGGTTTTCTCTCTTATTTTCTCGAATCGCTTTCGTCCAGCGGGTCGCGCGTACTCGAACGACGACTTGGGGATAGGACGAGAAGCATTATCAGGCTAGGTGATCCCTCTCTCGAGCGATATGCACCAGGACACCGAACTCTTGACCGGCGCCTTCTGTTTCAGAATCCCGAACGGGTTACTACAAGAACTCCGTTCTGTTCACGAGTGCGACCTAGAAGAGGCTGGAGGAGAGCAGAAGAGGGGCGGAGCGCGTGTCAGCGAGCAGCCAGAACGAGTGATCGCGATCGATCGTGGGGAAGAGCAAGAGGGACGAGGAAAACGGCGTGGAAAACGGAGCGAGTCCAGCCTCCCGTACAAACTACTCTTCGTCTCGCAGTTTCGTGTGACTCGCGCGGCCGAGCCGATTGAGCCGACCGAAGTGATACCGATCGCGAATTGACGACTTCGTACACGCGGAGAAGAGAGTGCGCGCGTCGAGTTTCGCGAGTTTTCCGGAAGAATCCGAACCGTTGTCACGCGGACAAAGGTCACTCGCTTGTACGATCGAGTACAAGGTACAGGTGAGGACGAAACTTCCGCTCGGGGCTACGATCGAATCCACGAAGAACGCTCGGTCTGCCGATTCGGCCCCCTCGGGACAGAGACTGATCTCGCAGGTAGCGATACACTGTACAATCGCGATCGACGAGGAGTCAGGATGGAAACACATATCAATGAAACGACGATCGTAACGTGTATTCGTCCCATCGTTTCTAGAACGTTCTTTCCGGAGTCGTTGCCGCTTCGGGTCTCGCGGTACTTACCGCCGAGAGGGTAGGTCGTTCAACCAGAAACGAACCTACGTGTCTGCGCGAATGTATATCACGTCGAAGACGATGTAACCAGAGACAGTACTGACCGTAACATTCGCGTTTCGCGATGAAGGAACACGGCCGAGAATAAACGAAATAATTATGGTGGCGAGCGTAAATATACTTCGGAATAATACCCGTGATTCGCCGAGTATTCCGAAGGAGAACGAGGACGAAAGATATCTAGATAGATTTCTAAAGACTGCTTGAGAATGCGTGCGCGTGTGCATGCGTTCCTAGAGGTACCTATCTCCTAATTATCGAGCGACTTCAATTAGCTAATCGTGTTAAGCTGTGCGCGGACGCGATCGGGCGCACCGTCTCGGTTTCGAGTATTATTATCGCTATTATTAATATTATTTCACCGACGACGGTGTACCATGAGAAGCCCTATCGTCGATGAGCGTGAAGGAAGAAAGAAGGGAAGGAAAATCGTCTGAGGATTCGCTGGCTCGCCGGTTGGCCTTCGACCGCACGTTCTCGTACGGCCAATCGGAAAGTTGTTTTTTCCTTTTTTTTTTTTTTTTTTTTTTCTGGTCCACTCTGCCTTCTCGAACGGCAGATCGTGCAAATGCGACTCTTTTTAAACTTAGACACGCTAGAGCACAATTCGCGCGCGACACCGTGTGACACGCGAGTCGAGATTCGAGGAGTTTCGCAACGAGCCGCGATTCGATTATTCTGTAACATATAGAGCGAGAGCAGCTGTGTGACTGTGAAAGAGAGTCAAGGGGAGGAGAGACTGCGAGAGAACGTGATATAGAGAACGAGAGATGGTGAAGACGAAGCTGAATTAGCGTTAGAACGATATAGAAGACGCTTCGATCGAGATTAGCAGAGTGGGAAGAGCACTGATTGTGAGTGAGAGTATATACGTGAATATGTGTGTGTGTGTGTGTGTGTGTGTGTGTGTGTGAGAGAGAGAGAGCGAGAGATAAAGAAAAAGAATGTGTGCACGCGTGAATGAAAAGAAGAGAGAAAGCGTGAGAATAAAAAAAGAAAAAAAAAAAAGAAGAAAAAAGAGGAGAAAAAACGGATAAATTCTCCCGTGCGTTTTAAATCGTAACACCTTATTTATATAAATAAACTTAGTTACTACCGTCGACAAGTAAGGCTAATGCATATTGCGTGTGTCCTGCGTTTGCGTTGATCGGCCGTAGCTATCGGCGAAATATTTCCGGCGACCGCGGCCAAGTGTGTGGGGGAGGGCGCCCGAGCCGTACCGCGACGAATATTTCCCCGAGGCCGATCCCCGTATTTAAGATCCATGTACAAAGTCTTTTGCCCGTAAGGTTCTTGTGTTGTAAAGTTCACATAATCATAGTGTCTAGATCGTACGTACCGGCTAAAGTCCGTTGAGACGATACTACACGTAGTGAAACGAGAATTTAACCACCGATAGCTCATCTGTATTTGCCATCGCCACTACCAATCGAACCGGGGGTCAAATCTCGCGATCGTGAATCACCGGCGCGTGCCGTCGATCCGAACTCGAGGGTAATCGCGACTCGCGATGCGCAAGCGAGTCGACCGACGACAAGTCGAATCACCTTGGCGGAGAAAGAAACTGGACGATGAAACGGAAGAGCTAAGTGCGCGCGTGTGTGTGTGCCGGCGATTCCCGATCGGCGAGTGGGGAAATTCCGCGAGAGCGCGATTGACGAAAAGAGGAGAAACGAAAAAGTGAACGGGGTGGGTTATTGCGTTACAGGGGAAAGAAACTCGTGGGTCGGGTGGATCGAGTGGGTGGGGGGAAGGGAGGGGAGGGGAGGGGGGGGACCAGTATCGCCACACTACACTGAGTAACGATGATGACGAGCGATGACGATTTCGCGATCGGACTTATACAATCTAGTATCGAGGCAAAAAAGTGTATTCATTGTAATTCAGCATTATTACCTATAAATAAATAGTTGTTATTGTAAATTCTGTGCGTGTGTTCCTCGCTAACCCACACATCGTTCCATCCCTCGCGCGGACCGTACGGAGAACGGTAAGGTGAAAGAGAGCGAAAAGAGGAAACGAGTGTAGAGGCGAATGGAGGAGGCAAATTGCGCGGCGGTACGGTAAGTGAATACTCGCACGATGAAAAAGATGATGGAAAGGTAGGTGAGGAAGGGGAGTAGGCGAGGCGAGGACGGTGTTCTCGTTACAATTACCGGATTCCAGGCGATAGATTCGTCGGACGTCAGCGAAGGAGCACGCGGTTCTCGCCGCGTTCAGATTAAAGGCTGCGCCGTGTGGCGGCGGCGTACGACGATGCATTCTTATCAATTTCCAAGCAGCCTAACGACCCAAGACACGCGACGGATGCCCATTGGTCGAGCCAGGCTCCACCCTTTCGACAGGGAACATATTTTAATAATAAATAACGACGATCAGGCTTATGATTCCGCGGTTGGCCAGGGTCGGGTCGTAGTCACTTAATTAAATCGCCGCGCGCGAACGTCTTAATAGGCCGTGGCTACAAACTCGACGCGATCTATGCATGCGTCTCGCCTAACGCGTAGTCACGTAACCGGCGGCTCGACTGAGAAACGAGCACGTGCCCTCCCGCACCAGCTCGATCCGTCTCTTCTCGCTGAAAATTTGGCCGATCGTCGCTGAAACGCTTTTTCATCGAAGATGCAACGGCCAAGTCCATGGTTAACCAGGGAGGGGGGAGGTAAAAAAGGAAAACGCGCGTTTGAATGCAAATTAAGCGAGCGTCGTCGAACCCCGCGTTTCCAGTGCCCTTTCTTTTTCCTGTCACTCCCCTCCGGCTTTTCACTCCCTCGCTCGGTACGTTTCGCGTTTCAGAATCATAAAGATAACCGAATTGCTCCGACTCGACTTTTATTCCAAGGACATATTGCCCGACAATCATTCCAGCATTTGCATAATTATCGAATAAAATGAGAGAGTGAGAGAGAGAGAGAGAGCCCTCGGGGCACTTCTAATACTCTGGCCCGCGTGTACGACTAATTTCATGCTCTCGGCTTTTTCCTCGGCTGTGAGGGTCGTTCGCCCCTCTCACCCCCTACTCCCAACCCCGCCCCCCCCTCACACACAGATTTTTCTCCTTTCTTTCTTCGTTGACGTTCGTCAGAACGCTTCCTCGCCGCTCGATCTCACCGTTTCCGCGTCTCGCCGCACGCGCTGTTCCCAGCAAGAGACGAGACCCTCGTTCGTCGCGGCCGATTAGCTTAATTCGGCCCCGGAACGACCAAATTCCTTCTAATTAGAATCGCAACGACCGCCGTTCGTGCCGTTCTCTTTACGATCCGCGTTCTCGTCCTCCCACTCCTCTTCCCACGAAGAAACGACTGCTTCTCTTGAAATTAGCCAAGAGAACTTTCTTTCCTCGTGGATTCTGATCAAAAATGTCTCGAAAAGGGCACTAAAAATCGTCTGTCGCCGTCGTTTAACCACCTGCGCTGGAATAACGTGCCACGCACGTCGAGAATCTTTTCGTCCCAAAGTTGCAATGTCTTCTCAGTTCTAAGTATATTTAAATTGGCAAAACAAATAACAAATTTATTACGTATTGTGTATATTTTTAATTAATTATTAAATTATTAAGATCTTCAGTGATATCGTACCGACGAGTTCAAAAGAAAAAGAAGACAAATTATTGTATACAGTTCGATCACTCGTTATGGTCCGCGAACCAGTTGCCAGAGGTTCACCTCTTACGCTTGAATGACGTGTCACGCACGTCGAGAATTTTTTCGTCCAAAGTTGCTACATTTTCTCAATTTTAAGTATATTTAAACGTAACCCAGGCAAAACAAATGATAAGTTTATTACTTCTTAACACTAGAACTACCAAAATTGTCGAAATGACCAACTGATAATTTTTTTTTAGATATTTTGTAGACACAAAATAGTGTATTTTTAGAGACTTGAATGATTCTTTGTAAAATATATAAATAAAAGCTTGTGTGTTATAAAAATAACTGTATTATAAAGATTTTCTGTTTCTTTTACTTCAATAATGGAAATTTTATTCTTTAGTTGTCGGTAATTCTAGTGTTAATAATTTTTATCCAGTGATATCGTTCAAAAAGAAAGCGACGGATTATTGTATACGATTCGGTCATTCGTTAAGGTCCGCGAACCAGTTGCCAGCGCAAGTGATTCACCTCTTGCGCTTGAATGACGTGTCACGCACGTCGAGAATTTTTTCGTCCAAAATTGCTACATTTTCTCAGTTTTAAGTATATTTAAACGTAACCCAGGCAAAAAAAATGATAAGTTTATTACTTCTTAATATCAGAACTATCAAAATGGTCGAAATGACCAATTGATAACTTTTTTTTAGATATTTTGTAGACACAAAATAGTGTATTTTTAGAGACTTGAATGATTCTTTGTAAAATATAAAAATAAAAGCTTGTGTATTATAAAGATAACTGTATTATAAAGATTTTCTGTTTCTTTTACTTCAATAATGGAAATTTTATTCTTTAGTTGTCGGTAATTCTAGTGTTAATAATTTTTATCCAGTGATATCGTTCAAAAAGAAAGCGACGGATTATTGTATACGATTCGGTCACTCGTTATGGTCCGCGAACCAGTTGCCAGCGCAACGGGTTAACGATCGACGAACTCCAACGTATTTGATAGCTTCGGTTTTCCCGTGTACTTCGTGTGCCCGCGACTTTTCAAAACAAAAGGACGTTCCCCAAGGAACGTTCCAGGCTGAAGGACCTTTCGTCGAGATGTCACCGCGGTTAACGAGAACAGTCGAGCCGAGCAAAACAAGCGATTTTTATCGGAAGGGAAGAGTCCCCCATCGTCTCTCGAATTATGCTAAACGGTTTTGCTCCGAACTCCCACGGAGACGGGGGCTGTTTCCGCGAGCCGGCGGAGACACGTTGCAAAAGCAGCCGCAGAATCTCGCGGCGGTGAAACTTTCGTCGCGGCTAAGAAACGGCCACGTCGGGCGAGCCGTGGAAAATTTGCAATTGTAATTGGCCTCGGAGACGGCGAATTCGCGCGCACCTTTTTTTTCGAACGCGCGCCAGTTCCAGCAAACAATTCTCGTCGCTCACTTTCGCTCACGTAAATTACGTATGTACGATTTAACGATCGAGTTCTTCGTGCAGGCCAGAACGCGAACTGAAAATTCAGCAAACCCGGCGAGAGAAAGGAACGAGGCGATTGCAAAATCGGTGCCACGACTCTCCGTCGCGTTCCGAGTATATTCCTGAATCCCTTGGAGTCAAACATACCGAGTCGAACGAATTGGAACGATCGAAGAAACGCATTTGAGTGGAAGCTTAATCCTTTCGAAGTTTATTATTAGTGTTTTCTATCACATGTATCGACTAAGACGGAGTTAGGTCGTTAAACATGATCTGACTGATGATTAACGATTTTGATTAATACGAAATCGGGATTATTAATTTTGTCAAGTATGATCATTAATTAATGAATGATGAAAGTAATTAAAATCGTTGCGATCAAATTCAATGATTACTTTAATAATCATTAATCATAAAATGAGAATTCCGATTATTATTGTATCGGCAGTTTATATATGTTATGAAAATTACATATTTATCATCTGCATTGTTCTACAATGTGCACAATCCTATAATTTTATCAGTATTTGTTGCAATCATTTAAAAAATTTCCACCAACTATAAATGAAAGTCTCACCAACATAATTCAGTCGTTATTGGCGAAACTTTTTGTGACTATTTTATGACAAACTTGTCGGATAAATAAAATTTTGAGATTACGACACGCACTATACTTATATACCAACGCTATATCAGAGAATTATAAATTTTAACAAAATTATTATAAATTCAACGATACAAATACTATTGCACAGCAAGAAATATCACATTATCACAACATTATTTAGTTAATTGCAGTGAATCCGATTGATATTCTGACATTTAAATATTCTAAACATTTACTAATCAATACACTAAACATTTAAACTGTTATAATTTTGTTTAAAAGAAATAAG